GTAGTGAAACGAGAAGACAATGATTTGTCGGATAAAGTGGTCACTAATGAAGACTCGGATGAGAGGAAGACATCGACGACAGACACAGACCTCAAGAGTATTAAAGACAAGACATGTTATAAACGATTGAAACCAAAGGCTATTAAACGAGTGTTCAGTTCATTAAAATCAAAGACATTTAAATGCGATTACAAAGACTGTGACCACAAGTGCCGATCCGCGGCAACACTGGCCCGTCATATGAAATCACACGACAATCAGAAGACCGAAGCCTATAGACAGCAACGGCTATCACTTCACCGCCGGTGCTATGATTTGGTGACCAATTCATACATCTGTGACGATATCTCGTGCGGGAAGTCATTCAAGAGTTATCGTCGACTGAGAGCGCACACCATTAACGTCCACTCGTGATGTCAGCTGTGATTATCCCGATTGTCACAAAATGTTCAAAACTTCATACGTAATGAAGGATCACTACAAACAGTTCCACACGACACACAAACCGCTGAAGTGTCCGCACATGGGTTGCGGCCAAAGCTATTTAAATAGGAGCCAATTGGAGGCACACGTTGTCCGTCACGCCACTGATCGGCCATTTATATGCGATTTCATTGGTTGTGACAAAAGCTTTAAGTCGGAAACGTGTCTGAAGACTCACCAACGGATCCATTCGAGTGCACTGACCGTTAAGTGCACTGTCGAGGGCTGTTCGCAACGGTTTCAAATGTATTACCACTTGAATAGACATCGCGTAATCGACCATCACTTTAGGCGCCCGAAGCGACTGCGAAAGACACCCGTCAAAGACATTGCCTGTCAGTGGCCGGGATGTGATTACAAAGCGTGCAATCGCTGGCAACTCACACATCACCAGAACATACACACCGATGAGCGGCCGTATGTCTGCGATTGGCCCGAATGTGGCAAACGGTTCCGCCGACCGACCGCTTTAAGAGATCACAAGAATATCCACAACAATGTGAAGCCATACGCCTGTCATTGGCCCGGATGTCAGTATCGGTGTTGTAATAGCGGTAATGCACGCAAACATTTTAAACTTGTTCATCAAAAGTGAGATAACATTTATAATAATTTATATTATATGTATGTTTTCATGTATTTACAAATTAATTGTTAAATTAATAATAAGTTATTTTATTTTATTTTTATGAATTGACATCAATTTGATAATCACTTCTATTGTAATTATATTTTCTAATTAAAACAATATATCCGTCACATTATATTAGAAATATTGTGTTTATAATTGAAATAAAGTTAATATTTTTTTGTGATAGAAATAAACAGAATTTAAATTGTATCATCAAATTGACCATGGATTAATTAACTACATACGAATTGCATTTATTTGCATCAAGATTATAAACTTTGTTGACTTTTAAATATTTAGACACAATTTTATGTTTTTATTGTTATAATAAATATATTAATTTATATAATTAATGAATTATAAGCTATAATTTATAACTAACTAACATCAAATCAAAATGTTTGACACATTATGCAGTTATTAATACAATTAAACGCGTATAACAGGTGAAGAGTTTATGTGTTATCTGTGACTCTCCAACCAATGTCTTTTATATTCCTCGTGTTCGGCCAAGTCTTCTAGTAGTTCCCGGCGATGAAGTACACCAACGATGAGCACAAGTATACAACAGATTGAGGCCAATG